AAAAAAAAAAAAAAAAACCTCAAACAAATACCAAGAGTTGATCAGAAACACAAACAGAGACAAGGCTTATACTTATAGCTTGGCTGAACCTAGCACCCCCACGTCCACTTAGATGAATGTGCAACTGAGTAAAATCTTTATACAATTTAGTCAAGGCTGAAGCCAAAGAAATGCAGCAGCCAGGCAATGCATTTAGGTGGAATCAGATGACATCATCTGACCAAAGTCATAGTTTAGAAGGAAGAGGTCCTGCAGATAATTGAAAATGAGAGGAAGAGCAGCAACAAAAATACCACAGCACAAAGTACTGGAGGGAAGGAAAGTTCCATGCCTACATTTTGTCCCTGATATTTAGCCAGTTGATATTTACTACAGCTATTTATTGTAAAACATTGCTCTTAAATGAGAAATCTGTTCCCATATGTGGCAGTCTCTTGCCACATTTCTTACTAGAGACTTCTACTTGGATTGTCAATTAAGAAATTCTAATTATTTTCAGGAAGAAAACTCACTTAAATTTTTCAAAGGTGCTTTGGAAACCTCAAAAAATTATTTTAAAATATTTTAAAGTCTAAAAGTTCTATAGATAAATGAGAAACAGGGTTAGACCCTAGAACACAGCCTTCCAAAAAGCTGTTTCTATGTGAATTATTTGAATACAGAATATGTGAATTTTTTTATTATGAAAAGTTTGGGAGAACTGAAGTCCCAAAAAGAATTTAGCACCATTTGGGACTATTAAATTAATCCCAGTTAGAAAAAAAAATCATCCTTGCATCAGCATTCCATAAAACAGACTCATTATGGGTTAAAAATTATAAAATGCTCACTGGAGGTATTTCTCGAACTTTCTGCATTAGAACTGGTGTTTCCATCTGAAAAATCAGAATCAGAGAAACCTTCTTTTTCTTGTTCTTTGTCTTGTCTCTTATATGATGATGCTAGCATCAATTCAACTTTACTTATTTTTGTAGGGTTTTTTTTGTTTGTCAGGAGAATAGGTTGCTTATTTTTGAAGACATCAATTGCTTCAGGAGCCTCTTCAAAGTCAGGTTTCTGAAAATCCCCTTGTCCCTCTGTGATATCTCTTTCACTGTCCCTGGTTTCTATTTCATGATCCACATAAAGTTGTGGAGTTCCAGAGATCTCAACCCTACTACTTGTGGAACCACAAAGATCTACTAATAAATCAGTCACAGCTTCATCTCCTCCCAACACCTTATCACACTGGTTGACCTGAGATTTCAAACCACTTTTATCCTTTGTTTCCAAGCTCCCCAAGGTTGCCCAGTAAAAATGGGGCATTGTGTCAGAGAAGCTAGCTTGCTCTGACCCTGAGGACTCTTTCTCAGGAGTTTCTTCCTTCATTGACACCTGGAACTGATAAAGAGGAACCTCAGATATTTCTTTAAGAAGTTTCTCAAACCCAGTATCAAAAGCACTCTCAGTTATTAACAGAGCCTCAGCCTTTTCTATTGTTTCTTGTATTTCCTCAGGATGGAATTCAGAAGCAGCTTGCTTGGGTTCCTCAGTACTCCCTATAAACTCTGATAGAGAAAGGGTTCCTGTATCCTTTCCATATTTTGAGGGGGTGGTTTGTAGTGTTTCCTCAAGTAGGTTTTCTAAGTGAATACTGAATTTGAGGTACTCTGATTTTGGCTGAATAATTGTTTCCCTCACAATTTCTGCTACTTCCTGAGGTTGCTCTTTGCCACACTGAGCCACAATGGAAACAGATGAGTTAATGAGCTGTTCTGATGGAAACATTTGGGGAGCTAAATGTGATCCATCTTCATGAGCTTCATCAGGAAGTACAGTGAAGGTATGAAAATCCTTCCTGTCTGGAACAATGGTATCCACTGCAGTCCCTGGTGGAATCACTTCCAGAGGATTTGGAGGGTTACTTGCTGTTTGCACTCCTTCAGAAAAATCTGCTTTCATATCTCCAGGACCTATTTCCCTCCCAGATGGATAACTCAAGGAAACTTCTCTAAGGAGCCTCTGTAATGTATCATTTACATCATTCAGTGACAGTTTGGGTGGAAGAATGACTCTCTTCATGGTCTCTGAAATTTCCCTTTGAGAAGACAATGCCTTATCTTGGTGAGCAAGATGAGCATCCCTGGAAAAAGTCATATCTTGTGGAAAGTTGGCCACATCCTCAAAAGAACCTCTTCCATGAAGATGTGAAGGCTGGGCCAGTGCAGAAGAACCTTCTGCAGTCATCTGAAACAAATTCTCTTTGTTTAACTGGTATTCATCACTTTCAGCTTTCTGGGTGAGAGCTACATTTCCTGAAGTTTTATCACCCTCTGGAAAAGGAAGTGTTATTTCTCTCTGATAGAATAAAGTGTTGTGATTTTCTTTTATCTCCTTTTCATTAGGCTGCAAGTTGGTTGTAGTGGTAACAGGTTCCATCTTAGTTTGCAAGGAAGAGTGTGAAGTTCCAGTTGCTTCTTTAAGGAGCTTGTCTAGACTTGGTACTATTGCTTTGTCTGCATGCTCATTAGGGATCTCTGTAGGTCCTTTGGCTTCTTGTACATTATCAGAAAAGTCTGTCTTTTGAACCCATTTCCTATCTTCAGAAACACCTGGTTCAAGTAGTTGCTTTCCACAAACTTTTCCACCAGAAGGTTGGATTACTAGCAACGAAGCTTCTGAAAGGAGCTTCTGTAAGCTGTCATTAAAAGTATCTTTGTAGTCTTTAGACACAATACTTGTTTTCACTATAGATTCTTGAATCTCTTCATCTGAACAATGTTTTTCTTCCTTAAGCACTGGAGTAACAAACCATTCCATATTCTTTTCCCAATTTTTCTTTGATGAGTCATTCCCTGCCAATTGATGAGTGAACTTTCTGGATGATTCTAAAGTAAATGTGGTGTCATCTGGTAGCACCTGGAATATGCCCTTTGTGTTTAATTTCTCCATTTCTTCTCCTGCCATGTTTCTTTGGCTTAGAAGTGCCTCTGTTTTATGGGTATTTTTTCCTGATGATTTAGTGTCACTTAATTTCTTGTGTTTTGGGCTATTAAAAGCCACAGGAGTTTTGGGGCTTGTAGTATCCACCTCATAATTATCCTTACTGTTTGAATTAGTTCCTAAGTTCCAAAACTTTTTCAAATTCTCAAACTGAGAGTAATGATAGACGTGTTCTGTATAGGGTTCATCCATTCTTTCTTTTAAGGACATAACTTTGAAGTTGGCACTTGATTCACCAATTAGAAATTTGTCTTTCTTCAAAGAAGTACACTTTTCACTCTCAATATTTGATGGATGTTGCAGTACTGGTAAAGTAATGTCTCTTTTAGAATGCAAACTGTCTTCCACTGGCCATCTTTTTATATGTTCATTTATTTCATTATGAAACAGAGGCACTTTATCTGATTGGTCAGTTGAAGAACAGTTTTTGGATGGACCTGATGATATTTGGGGCCTGATCTCTTTAGGTTTATTTGAGGAGTAAAAACTGGGGAGATGGGATGCTTGATCATTTTCATCAAGGACCACTAGTTTGGCAATGACTTGAGTAAATTCATTCTGGCCTGTCGATAAACTGTCCATGGATACACCCTGTGACATCTCAGGCTGCAGTGCTTTAGCAGAAGGTTGTTCCTGGCTACCTGAAGATGTGGGTTCTTTATGAGTTAATTTAGCAGCAGCTTCTCTCTCCCCTTCCCAAAAGGATATTCTTTCCCTCACTCTTTTGTATTTCTCTCTTTCCACTTGGTTCTTGGGAACCTCACCAGCTTCCTGATGGAGCTGGACCTCAGGCTTCTTCCAAGATCTATTGTCGGCAGCCCTAGGTAGCAACTCACTATTCTCTGTCTCTAAGGAAGTTTCCAGAATGGAAGTATTTTCCTCTTTGCCCTTTCTCTCTGCTTTCATGTTGTCTTTCAAATTTGACTCTTGGACAACTGTTGAGTCAAAACTGACTTCTGAGTTTCCTTTATTTTTTTCATGATCAAGAAGCTTGGGTTCATCTTTACCAAAGTTGCCAATATTCTTAGTGTTGTATGGAACTTGGACTTCTATATCAGATCCTTCGAGAACATTGTAGAAGTAGTTACTGGTTGAGTGAGGTACCCCATTTCCTTTTCCTATGCTTTTTGAACCTTGGCTATAGTCCATATTTTTATTCTCTTGACTTAAAGCACGATAGCTTTCAAGTGGTTGCAGTACACCCAGACCTTCTTTTGAGGTGTCTTCTTGAGACAAATTCATATATTTGGATATGATATTTGCATCATTATCTTGGAACTCTTCAAAAAGCAGCTTCTTTCTTTCTACTTGAAATGTCAAATCAGATCTTACAGGCTTCAGTTTAACTTTGGTAGGTGACAGGGCTTTTGAGCCATTTTCTTTTAGACTTGTGTCATCTGTTACAAAGGCAATAGGAACTTGTGACTTTGAGTCTATTTTTTCTTTGGGCTCTATTCCTTGGGGATGTTGGAGGGATGACTTACTGTCATCTGAGTAAGAACTTCGGTTAAACCAGTCTAGGACTTTAGATATGGAATCATCAGTTGTCTTCCTTATCTCAGTGACACATGGACCACAGCATGAGGATGTCTTAGCTTTTGGAGTCATGAGAAGAGGGGGCTTACCTTGCTGATGGTCTCTAGAACTGCAGTCTGGCACCTGAGATGGCTCAGGCTCAACACAATGAGACAATTCATCTGCAACACAGAAATGCTTTTCTAAATAAGAGAATGCTTAAAGATTATTTTTCAATCACTTATATTCTCTTTTGAAAAAGGTATTTTTTTATTTGCACTTTCTACATCTTTCAGGGGTTGGTCATTCTAGTTAAGGTGCCCTATGACAGTAAAGGAAGGCAAATGTAGACCTGTGGACTATAGTGTATGGACTTAACTGAAAAATTTCTTTGAAGTCCTTGGTTTATTTAAAAAATTCATGTGAATTTTATATTCTGCTCCATGTTACATTATAAATATTAATTTGATCTTACTCTCAAATCTTTGTATAGAAGTGACACTCTAAGAAGGTACACCATGCTGATTTTATGACTTCACTAACCCTCTGGCACACTGTCAGAAACATGAGAAGGGGCTTATATCCAATTTTGAGAAGCACAGATTCAAGTGATTTCAGGAATTAGAAAACCAACTATCAAGTAAGACTGAACAAGAAATTCCCTGCAGAATATCTGAAAGAGAACAATTTGCATTCCTGAAAACATATTCATTGCTTTAGTACTGAATTCTGAACCAGAATCTCTGAAGACAAGGCTGCTGTTCTAGTGATTGTTTTGCACACTGGCGTTTAAGAACCCTGATCTCAATAGGCTTCTCCATTATGCCCCTTTTCCTTTCTATCATTTCTAAGTCAGAAGTTATTTCTAGGAGCCAAATAAATTGAGGACTGACAAAGAATGATCTCTACTTGCCCCATAACCTCAGCTAACTAAAGGCTAAGAGGCTAGAGAAGGATATTTACATTCTTTCTAAGCTATCAAGAAAGTAGGGCCAGGGATTTAGCTCAGTAGCACTGTGCCTGCCTCACAAGCGCAAGGTCCTGAGTTCCATCTCTGGTACCACAAAAAAATAAAATAAAATAAAGAAGCAAAATGCTCCTGAACCTTCATCAGAGGGCACATAGTACACTTTGATGAGGGAACTTAGCTATTTTGCTAGATTTTATAGGCATTTAGTTAAAATTCAAATGTTTCAGCATTTCTTTTCTTCCTTATAATGATAAGCAATACAAAGCATATACAGGGATGTTCCTAAAACTTGTGTGAAGCTGGGTGTGGTGGCACACACCTTACAATCCCAGCACTCAGGAGCCTGAGGCAGGAGGATTGTTGTGAGTTTGAGGCCAGCCTGAACTACACAGGAAAATCCTGTCTCAAAAAACATATAAGGCAAAACAAAACAAAGAACTGTGTGTGAGCTGAATTTTATGAAATCAGCCACATTCCAAATGCACAAAAAAAATGCTAGTTAATAAAATTCTATGTTTAATTTCAAATATCAGCCCTTGATAAATCTATAAATTAAAAAGTTTGTACAATAATTGACACATAGTAGATATTGGCTTCCTTTCTTAATTATATATTGCATTAGTAAATATATGTCAATAGTTGTGAAGTTCCTTTGATAAATCTTCAAGAATTCTGTTTACAGATTATTTAATGATAACTTTTTAAAATGTCTGTGATATATTGCTAGTGAAAAAAGTTTCAGCAGTATAGTAACAATTTTTAATAACAATTTATAAATTGTAGTCATGCCTAAAATTTTTCAGAAGTCTCTATAATAAAATGTTTGCAATAGATAATGATATCACAGATGAGCTTTTTAAAAATTCTGTGTGCTCTGCTCGCTTCAACAGCACATATACTAAAAATTCTGTGTTCATTCTTAAATATTTTACAAAAAGCTATTACTTTAAAAATAGGAACAGTTATTTAAAAAATTCAATGCCCAATAATGTTTTTTTTCCTCTGAGGAATTCTTTTTCCCCAGTGTGAAAATTAGTGTGATATTGACTGTCTTGATGTTCAGAGCTAAAGCCAAACTTTATGATTCACAGACATAGAGTTCAAAGTTATTCTAGTTTTGTTTCATGTCGTAGTGCTTACTTGTATATATCTTTGCAGTAAACCAAAAGGCAGAAAGCAAGGGCTAACTTTGTTTATAAGCAATCCTTGTGGTCAGCAGGGTGTCAGGCCATCAAAATAGGTTTAGCTGATGATGTTTTGTTCCCAAATTTAATGGTCAGTTTGAATGTAAAAATTAGAAGGCATAAGTAATTACAAAATCATAGTCTATGAGAAAATATGGGTTCAAAAATGGGGAAAATGTACAATTCTTTTCAATCAACTACAATAGAGAAATATTACTTTTTAAATTTTTTCATCCTTTGAATGAATATTTAGGTAACTATCATGCAATTACTTTCTAATGTTTGGTCAAATGTCAGTAATCTCCTTTAGTATGAGTTGCCTTTTTTGTGTGTGTATGGTACTAGGGTGGAATCCAGTGGTACTTTACTATTGAGCTGTACCCCTAGTTTTTTTCAATTTTTATTTTGAAACAGTCTAAGTTGACCAAGCAGGCGTCAAACTTTTGATCCTCCAAAATGTATAATAGATAATGCAAAATAGGAAGAAAAGGTCTAAAGGGGAAGGGGAAGTGGGAGGAGTGGGGGAAAGGAAAGAAATGAAAGGAATAAATATGAGAAAAGGAAAAATGGAAACAAAGTCTTTGTAAATAGAGAGGAGTGGAGGGGTTGAAGGTGGGCAGGGGAATGGGGAAAAAATAAGAACCCAGATATATCATGCAAAAGTACAAACTCTCAATGATGAATGTGATCATATTGTATACCTAAAATGTACCAATAAAATTAATGAATAAAAAAAACCTTTTGATCCTCCTGTCTCAGTCTCCTGAGTACCTGGGATGATAGGTATTAGAAAATATGCCCAGCGAGTTCTTTTATATCTTAAAGAAGTGTTGGCTAATTTTTAAATTTTTTAAAAAAGTTCTGTTTCATTCAAATAATCTAAAATGTCCAAGGAGGAAAGGGACCTTTGTCTTTTAAGAAGTGGACTGACCTTTTTCTTTTTTAAAAAAAAACTTAAGAATTTGAAGTAATCATATAGATATGAGGAGGTAGTTTGAGGCATCCCCTGAGAGGGTTGAGATCTTCAAGGGAGGGCTGGTTAGCAGGAAAAGCAGCACCTACACTGCCTCTTAACCTACATTTCTGGAGTCAGGGACAAATATCTTCAGACCACGGGCAGGCAAAAATCAAGGGCTTCTTCATATTGAGAACTCAAAGTCTAGTTTTTCATTCTTTGGGGCTAAGTGAAGACTCTCTTGCAATTAGAAGAGAAACCAAAGTTTGGTAAATGGTAAAAAATTTACATTTGGTGGGTAATAATATATTTACTCAGTGAGAAGGTATTAGCATTTCTTTAATTCATCTTCTATGGTATACACCTTGGTTTAACTCAAAACATTCTCATTTGTTTAAGTAACGGCTATGGTTACACTTTTTGCAGTTAAATATAATGGACTGGACACTGTGCTATAGTGGTTATTTCAGTAATATTGGTGGTTGAGGAAAGCCTCTAAACCCATTAAGAGTTATATGCATTTCCCAGTGGTATCAGTTTGAATTCTAGATGAAATGCTTGAGAGGCAAAATTGACCTTCTACAAGGCTGGCTGACCTGGCCATTCCAAGCCCACTGAGCCAGCTTTTGTAATCTGGTAGTGATAACTCTCTTACCAGCAGGGTTTGGGGACAATTCTGACTCAAGCTTTGTTAATTCTGATGATTTAGCTTGGTGTTCACAGATGATGGTGGGTGAATTCTCAGTGGACCGTGGTTCTGCATTTAGAACTTCCGATAGAGACTGGAGCCCATCATTTGGAACAGAACCAGAAGTCACTGGGAGATATGTTTCATTTTTTGATGCACTTGGACTTGAGGCTGACTGATGAAAAGGCAGAGGCTTTTTGTACTGGGGGGGTTTGGGGTCATCCCAAAGCTCATCTATGTTCCCTGAATCTTCTGTTCCAGTCTTCAAACTGTCAGGCTCTAAAACACTAAATTCTCCCACTTCCCGGCCACAGATTCGCCCAGGACTCTGAGGAAGTTCATCTTTTACTGCAGAGAATCTCACATGCTTTAATGGCTCCAGTGAGTTTGGGGAAGGGTCATCTTCTAAAGAATGCTCCTTCTCAGAAATTCTCTCATGGATGGTAACTCCAGGTGACACGGTTTTGCTTTTGGGTTCAAAGTTGTGATTGAAACGAAGAGTTTCAGAGTCTGTGCTACTGGAACTGGAGTTTCGTTTGAGGATCCCCCTAGGAGCCCCCCTGGCATTCAGGGAATCTATCCTTTGTCTAAGAAAAGACTGGTTATCATCTTGCTTTACATCATTTGATTTGTAAATCAATTTTCTGGCTTTGGGGATTGGAGCCTTGATTTGGGATCCATTTGCAGGATCTGCTGGCACAATCTGCTTTGATTTCTCTAAGTTCTGGCTTGACATATCTTGGGTAGATGACCTTTCTTTTGACTCTGACAATTCATCTGAAAATTAAAACATATCAGGTAATATATCAAATAGAAAGCAACTCTACAATTTAAAATACTTACAAGCTTAGCCTATATTTAGTAAAAAGTATTAACATATGGAAGGCAATCAAGTAGCAGAAGTACACACCTAATGTCCCCAAAGCCTATGAAAATTCATCCATTGTAGCACAGAGGATATTTAGGGCAATGAAATCATGGTGTTTGACACTATCATGGTGGATACGTATTATTTGTCAAAATCTACAGCACATACAATGCTAAGAATGATCCCTGATGTAAACTATTAACTTCAAAGTAGTTAGTCAGTTATAACAAACACACCAGACTGGTGGGAGATGTTGACAATAGGGAAACGATGCATGTATGGGAATAAGGTATATCTGGGTAATATGTGAACCATCTGCTCAATGTTGTGAACCAATGCTCTAAAAAATAAAGTCTGTTAAAAATTGATGAATTTCATTGTACAGCACATAAACTGCACATTTAAGATTACCAAGCTTTATATACTTTGTGGAATTTTATAATCAATATAAAAAGTTTTTTAAAGATTAGAAAGAAAATTTGTCAAAAGAGGTATGAAAAAACCCCCACAGAAGTCCCTTTAAAAATTCATGTATTTAAATCAGAAAAGGTAACTCAATTAAAAAAAAATTCCAATATCTAAAACAAAAAAATGTTTTGGCAAAAGTTAAAAAAAAACAAAACCAAACAGGTAACACAGTCCAGTCATTTTTCCAACAAAATATTTTCTGTGCTATAATGTATGCCCAATAAAAAACACATTTAAGGGCCGGGGATTTAGCTCAGTGGTTTCGCCGCCTGCTGCACAGGCACAAGGACCCAAGTTCGATCCCCAGCACCCAAAAAAAAAACAACCACATTTAAACCAGTTAGTTGGTCAGGCATGGGTGCATGCCTATCATCCCAGCACTCTGGGAGGCTAAGGCAGGAGGACTCAAAGTTTGAGCCCGGCCTGGATGACCTAGGAACTTAACAAGATCCTATTAAAATAAAATAAAATAAATTTTTTAAAAAAGGTCAAGAGGTGTAGCTTAGTAAGAAAGCCTTGAGTAATCCATAGTACCACCACACACACACACACACACCCACACACCCTCCCACACACACACGCACGCAAGCTACTTGAAACCCTTAGCTCCACTATCCATCTGTTAAATTGTTTTTACCCATTGACTAATCTTTAATGCAGGTGGAATCTTCTAACAATTACTTTGGAAGAGATTGAATTTTCTAGTACTTCCTTTTAATGTTATATAAGAACAGTAAAATTCTGAGCTGATAATTACAGATTAGAAGATCATAAGGTAGTCAAGTGGCCTTTTTGTCTTGAGGCAACCTATTGGTAGGCAAATTCTGTTATGTGAAATTAGTGTTTTTGGTCAAAAAATTTCCCAATCCACTGATGAGGTCACACATAAGTGGCATCTCCAAGATTGGTTTACGTGAACTTCCAGTGACTAAAATTTCTTCCTCCTTTCCCTCAGGGGAGGGAGGAAACCAACAGGCACAAGCAGAATGGGAAAACCATCATGACTTTCCACTTTCTTTGGGAAGTTACTTATGTGAAAGGGTCTCTGGGAAGTTTTCCTAGTCCATAGATAACAAAGATAAAAATATCTAGTCCATAAAAATAATATTTACCCTCTTTTGAAATCTGAAGTAAACCAGTGCTTCCATTTTCTGACTGCTCATTTTTGGTTTGTTGAGATAAGTGATCTTCTGGCAACTTGGAGCTGTTAAATGGATTCTTCCTTTGCTAAGGAAAAATATTGTTTAACTTAGTTTAAATGTCATAAAAGCAATTCAATGTTAGCAAATGTTTATTATCACCAATATATGATAGTTTTACCCAATCAATTTTATAATCTGGCATGTTTGAAAAAACCTGATTAATTTCAAAGACACAGAATTACCATACAAGGGGTGATCAAAGTACACAAGGAATGTTTAAATTTTAAAAATTGTTACAGTAAAAGACACAATGGCATTATTTCCCATCAAAATACTCCCCCTCACTTCAAACAAACTTATCCCATTGTTCTTGCTTCTTTCTCAAGCAGTTCATGTCTTTATGAGGTGTGATAAAAATATACAGTGAATGTGGATGCTGAGTGCCATCCAAGGGAAAAGCAGGTTCATAAAAATATTATGATGTGTCTTCATCCACCTTACTCATCTTATTTGGCACCTGTGATAACTGGCTTTTCCCCCAAAGTCAAATGACTGTGAAAGGTAAACATTTTGAATTGATTCAGGAGACTGAAACAGCCCAGAACAGCTAAAGACACTCATAAAAGAGGACCATCAAAACTGCTTCAGAAAGCAGCAAGAAAGATGGGAAAAGTTTGTTGGAAGCGAGGGGGAGTATTTTGAGGAGTACTAAAAGTAATGGGTCTTTTATTGTAATAAATTTTTGAAATTTAACCATTCACCATAGCTTCAATCATAAAATAAATAAGCACAATTACATAATATATACCCAATGCCAGAAACTTACCAAGTAAGATCAAAAAGTCATTCAAGTAAAAACTCCACATTTTAAAGGTGAGTAAATGTGACCTTGGACATACTAAAGACCTGGTCATGGTCAGAGCAAACCTTTATCTTTAATCAGATCAGATTTCCACCAATGTTCTTTCTATGACATCAGATGCTATTTGTGCTAGATCACAGCTGTTTGAAATAAAATTGTGAGTGACCTTTCCGAATGACTTAGAAGATACTTCAGTTATCCTGAGGTGCTTCATGGTTAGTCAATTCTAATGACAGATGTTTATTAATATAAGACTGAATATCTATGTTTACTGTCAGCACTAAATAGCTTCAGATTTTACTCTCTTGGGCAAGAAATCCGGGTCTTCAGCTATGAACATAGTATTCATTAACCTTATCCACCACAGGTGTGACTTCTTAAACTAAATAGTAAAAATTATCTGTATCTGGTAGCAAAAAAAAAAAGTATGACAAAATTCTCTTTATTCCATAGTACTTTGACAAAATGAGAAAAATAACATTCCAATTAAAAATCAGATTTTTGAAGTTTGGCCTCAATCTACCTTGGCTGGAGACAAAGGTGCTTTCCTTGTATTTTCCTGGGACATATTCATCACAGAGGAAGCTGGATTCACTGCACTGGAACTGCAAAAGAAACCATAATTCACAGAACAAAAATTCACCCTTTGAGGAAGCATAAATCATGCCATTAAAAAAGCCAAAAGCTAGGGGCCGGGATGTAGCTCAGTGGCGCTAATGCAAGCTCCTGAGTTTGATCTCCGGTACCGGAAAAAAAAAAAATACAAAAGCTAGTAAGGTGGATTGGAGAAGAGGTCTGTAAAATCAAACTGCCAGAAAGGGACAGAGAATCAGGACCTAGGGGTGATTTAACACTGAAGGAAAGGCAACAACAGAACAGTAATGAAAGGCAGGCATGAGAAAGGACAAAAACTTCTATTAGCAGCCTTGAAACTTTTATCCCAGGGCCAGTTTGAGACCAAAGCGACTCCATTTTGCTAAAATCCACTATTCCCCTAGTCTCTGTTGTCCTCACAAATTAATGGTTAAAATGTGCTTCCTCTGGGACAAAAGACACAATCTGTAACGAAGCAAAGTTCCTAAGTTAATTACTCAACCATCTGTTTGCCTAGGAAAAGAACGTTCCGGGCCCCCTATCCATAGAACAATCTGTAGATGTGCTGACTGTCAGTACGTAATGGTCGTGACTATTAGTCAGTGTGTCTGCTGACCATCAGTACGTGACAGTCGACCACTAACCTTTGTCCCTCATTTCCCTCGTAAAACCTACATGTAACCGCCCCTCAACCCCCGATGAACCTAGCCAATCAGAAATGTACACTTCATGCTTGCTAAATGTTAACCAATCATGTAACTGCTAAGTGAAAAATCTCCAAACCTCGCTGTAACCTCTATAAAAACCCAGCTAATTTGAAATTCGGGGCTCTCAATCCTGACCCGCTGCGTCGGCGACGGTTGAGAGTCCCTGGTCGAGCTTGAATAAACGACCCTCGTGTGTTTGCATCGGAATCGGCTCCTTGGTGGTCTTTGGGGACTTCGCGATCTGGGCACAACACCAGGAACATGGAAGGTTCATAATTTAAACTGGTAGAAATGAACTAAGCTAAGATCAGATGCAGGCTAGAAAGGGAGCAATTGAGTTTATTGCTGAAATGAAGCCCCAAAGTTATAGAGCTTAACTCCATTGGAGGAAGGGTCAGAAAGGCAGTGCTTACTCTTAACTCAGATAGGGAATAACTGCAGAAAAATCTAGGGTAAGACAAGTGACTTGGCAAAGAGACGGAAAAGTCAGCAGACCAGAGATGCTATGCACCCAGGCTGATGTGTTTGAGACCTTTCAACCCAACTGTCTAAGATGGCCAGGTGAGTTCTTAATCAAATAAGGAAGAGTAAAGACAAGTAGAGTATCCAGAAGATGGGGGGAGGGTAGATGCCTGGAGCTGGCTTAGAGAAGTAAGGAGGATTCTCTGGACCAGGGTTGGGAACCTATGACATGGGTGTTATTTGTTTTCTTTTAAGACAAAAGATGTTAATGTATGAGTTGCTTTTTTAAAAAAACTAAAACCTCAGCATCCAGGTTTAATAGCAGTTTGGCACTTTGTGATAAATAAATAGGTTTTGGGTTGCAGTTTGGGGACTTGTCTCTAAAAGGTTCGCCATCACTGCTCTAGACTATGATTCCCTATCTTAGGGACAGGGCAGCCCTGGGTGAGAGTAAGGCAAGAATGAAAGGGGAAAGATGAGTCAAGCAGGCTCCTTCCTGAACAACCACTCCTTTAATTATGAGTAAGAAGGGTAAGAAAGAGTCATAGAGTCCCTAGAGGGGAGAAAAATAACCTGCTCAGACTGCTTCCTCCATTGCCCTTGCCTGAGGCATAGGAGGTGAAGTCACTATTGACTAAAATCACATTTCCCTGTTAAGCACTACTTCTTTTAGTGACACTCAGAATCAAGAGTTTAGAAAATACCTCCAAAAGTACTGGCTGTCTCCCACAGGGCAGGAACTGAAGGCCTGAGAAAGAGAGCAGTTTGCCCCAAAGCCATGGACACTTGCCCTAAATTATTGTCACTAAAGTCATAAACCTGTGGGTCAGATATTTCTGCAGTTCATTTCCTTTCCTTACCGATGTAGTTCAATTGCTCTTTTTGCATAGTTAAGTCTCAAGAAAGGTGAACCCTTGAGGAAGCCATTCTTCCTTTCTTTACCCTCCTATTTGTTCCAGAAAGGAATTATAGCAGATCATTTAGATGTATGTAAAATACAGCCTGATTGCATGAAGGCAAGAAAGGAGGGGAAGGGATATGAGGGAAAGAGTCGGGAACAAAGGAGGAACTTATGCAGCCAGAATTTGGACAGAAGGACACATTATAAAAGTTCTCTATTCCTGTAATAGGTAGACACAAACTTGAATTAAGTTATCTAGCAGCAAAATTTAATAAAGAAACCTGGTTACTAATAGAATTCAGTGTCCAGACAATAAAAACAGCCAATAGCTCAGAACTAGAAAGCAAATTCTCTTCCTCATTTTAATAAACGAGTGAGTAATCTGAAGAACAAGATCTTTATGGCAGACTCTATGCTCTATTTCTCAGTACAGGTATTTTGTATGATGTCCCTTAATAAATACAGCAGTCACATAATCAGAGGGCCTCAGTCAGTTGCTGGTGTTTCAGGTCTCCATGGAACATTCATGTTTCCTGTCACCTTCTTTTCACCTTCTTGTTCTCTAGCTCTAAAGGATTTTTTTTTTAAATTTTAAAGCCTCTACATCATTTTCTCTCAATCAAAAATGAAAGCCTCTGGCCCCAGCCTCAATAGCCCTTACTGCATATCACGTTGATCCTCTTTCTTAGACATGAAACCAGTCTTTCGCTTAAGGAATTCTATCCAGAGATGTATTTCATGTCTACTATGCAATCTCATTTTGTGTCACACATGGTAAACTTAGGGGATGGGATCAAGAAATCCTTGATCATCTTTATCCACCCACAGTGCCTGGTATATAACTAGTGAATGGCTAAATATCTGCAGGCCAACTGAGCCACTGCCAGGGATAGCAACAGCAGACAGGTAGTGGGGTTTTGTCTTGCTTCAATTTTAATTTGTGTGGTCTTCCAAACTACAGCTCAACAGATTATTTAGGGGTTAAACAAATGGTCTTGTTCATGCTCTTCAGGAAACAAGAGAGAGGGAGAAACAAAGCAGTTAGGACTCAGAACAGACATGAAAATACCGGAAACACAGTATTCACTGGGCTATCTTGTGTTTGGGATAGGGAAAAAAGATAAAAAGGGTAGCGACTTGGTTAGCTACCGTTTACAATCAGTTTAGTTGGAAGATATTAAAACAAAAGCTTATGTTTCAAACTCTGTCCAAAAATTCAGCTGCTTCCCTGCAGTTTTGCATCTCTCAAGGAATACTATCGTGCTTTGCTTGCCTGTCTTATTGGGCAATTATCACTGCAGCAATCATCTCACTCTCAATTCATCCTTGCAACATCTATGAAGTATGTACCTTTCTCCTCATTTTCCTTATGAAAACAACTCCAGCTCACAGAGATTAAGAGACCTGTTTGATGTCATAAAATTAGTTTGTGAGAGTGGGGGATCTGAATCCAGGTGTGTCTGACTCCAAATACAAACATGGTAATGGCTAGATTATTCTGCCTCTGATTTCTTGCATGACTAAAGCAGTGGTTTGTAACAAGAAGACTAGAGTCAACTCTCAGTGTTTTACCCTTCCCAGTGAGTTTTACATCTGTCTCTCTCTCTTTTTTTTTTTTACTTTTAATGACACTTCTTTTATTTCTATCAACTTCTTGTCCCAGAAACTCACCTACTTCTTTGTCATTTCCAGCAACCAATTCCCTGGTTCCTCTTTCTATCTAAATTACTGCCATCATCTGCAAGCCCAATCCAAATCTCATCTCCCGCATTATCTTGGTTAGGAGTGAGTCTCCCTTATCTCAATTAGTACAGCATGTTTTATTGGTACTTTGGGTTAGGAATTTGTTTCCTGCCAACATTCTTTACTATCATGTGATCAGGTCTTTATATATATAAATGCATTCTTTTTCCTAAGAGAATATAGTCTCTTTGTGACTGCTGTTTCTTAGGACTCCTCCCAGAGGGAAGTGTCCTAAATATAAAAGATGCTCCAAGCATTCCACATAACAACATTTTTTAAGTTGCAAAGCAAGCCAAATTTCACAACCCAAGGCCTGTAACTTTCTTCTCTCAGGCATTCTTCAAAAAGGACCCACAATGTTAGATGTAGCACTTAGACAAAATTAGTTTGCTTCATTAAGATCATTAAGATATTAGATAATGTTATGTTTACAGAATCTGAAAGAAATTCTGCAAGTGATTTTTTTTTTGAATGTCTTTGTTGCTTTGATCTCTCCCTTTGGACTGTGAGTTCCTTGGAGGGGTGACACTGTTTCTCACCTCTAGGACTCAGCACTGTGATGGTATCCAGTGATGCTTGAATATATAAACCAATGAAGAAATAGCTCAGGGATGAATGAAGGAAGCAAATTAGAAAATATGCTGTGCCAAGCTCAAGTCAATATTATCTTGAGGCAAAATATTGCTTGTGGGCATACAGTCTTCTAATGCTACACAGCTCCTGCTACAGATTTGTCAAACACAAATATTCCCATCTGAACATGAGGCATATTGATGCCTCAGTAAAACTATTCTTTCCACAACTGGTGATATCTGTTATTATAGTGTTTTCTTAGTGTGATATCAAGTCACTGAGATGCTTACTAAACCTATTGTAAGCTTCTTTCTACCTATGAATTTGCCTCCTCTGGCCGAAGATTCTGATCTTTATCAGGATGCTTAAGACAAGATAATTCTAAAATCTTTTAGAAACCATCAGCACTAGTGAGTTCTCAGAAAAGTCTGCACAGTATGGGATTCAGGCACCTGGCAGACACCAGATACCTGTCTTGTTGTAATGACTCATCTGTGCTATATACCACATGATAAGGACTTCTTGGGCTGTATATTAGGATGTCACAAACATATCTGGACTCATGGTCAGTAAGGTGACCATTAAGAAAAGGAAAGATTAACATTTCCATCCATACAGGCTCAAATTATTTTAATAGCTGAGTATTCTTTAGGGTGAATTCAGGTTAAATGCCTTTAAGAAAAAAGGAGGACACTATCAGACAACTAAGGGATATGGGTAGGGAAGGGTATACGAAGAGGAGCCAGGAGGAGGAAAAAAATTCAGAAGCCTGGAACACATTAGAGTAACTAGCATTTTTTCAGAGGCCTGGATGGCCCATCTGCAGCTACAGAGCCAAGACAATATACATTAACAGAGGGTCCAGTCCTCAAAGCGGTGGTCTTGAAGAAAGAGAACAAAGAGTAGAAAATGAAAAAAGTCAGTCCATTTTAGGGAAGGAGACACAATCATTTCAGGGAAGGGGACACAATGCGCTATCCATGTGTGGTTTGTGTACCAGTACTAGTCCATAATCTGTTTATCACTGATTAGCAATAAGTACAGAAATTGGGAGTATGGGTTGAGAACCATTTACATCATAGCACATGATTGGTGATCTGTTGTACAATGTTTTTGTTTTCTGTATTTAATTTTTACATTCTACAAAAGGTATCAATCTATGAAGATCGGACATAAAAATCTGAAGTAAAAGTGAAACAGGTCCTTTACTACACTTTATAAAGTGCTGGTGCAGCCCAAACTGCCCAGCTTAAAGTCAATAACTAGAACAAGAATCGTTAAGTGTTGGAATTTTCCCTTTGCCACTCTAAAGGGAACCTTATTCTCTGCTCATCCACCTCTCTCCGTTTCCTTGTGCTACAGGTCAAACAAAACTGAGCTCACAAAGAATGCAGGTAGTTGTCAATGTTTAACTATGTTCTAGGTACTCAGTATTTTAATTCTTCATGCATAGGACCCCACAGAAATGTGCTTACAACTGTAAGAAGAACCTCACTACTAAGCCTATGAGGAAAATTCCTTTAGAAACTACAATATGCAGCCACTGTGGCCTCACACTCTTCAGCTCCTGACTCCTGGCTAAGAAAATATTGACAGGTATTGAGTCATTCTGTTGAAATTCACTTAGACTAAAAGTACAGGCCCCAAAATACACTTAACACACCCAGTTCACAAAGGTTAAAGTATAAGTGAAAAACACTGTAGGAACTTATATGGAGTAAAGTAATGGTTTCAGACCTGGAAAGCAGGAAGTAAAAAATAGCTCCTTCTACAGTTCGAGTGATTACCATCTATGCCACATATTATAGGGTTGGCCAAATGAGCAAAGCATGTTGGCTACACCTAATCTCTTTGCCTTCGGCAACACATTTTATCCATGTAATAATAACATTACAATGCCACTTGGAAACGGACACTTTTCTTCCTGAGAAATGCTAAGTGGTTCCCATACCTTATTTCATTTAATCTCATAACATTTTAGTGAGGAAACCCTGTTCTAATTTACAGATAAGATCCGAAAGACATGTCTGAAGTCATACAAGGAATACAGAGAATAGCATAAATTATGGAAATTATATTATTAGACTCAAATTAAGGAAGATGGAGGGAATACTGAGGTACTTTACTTGCTGGCCAGCATGGCCTCAACATAAAATAGAGCTTTACAAATAGTCCTAGGAGGAAAGAGTGAAGCCCATCATTTATGGGAAACAACTGGGAAATGGATAAGTATTTAATAGGCGCCTTAATAGAGTAAATATTACTTATTCTACTGTTGGAAATAGCTCTGCTCCACAGGTGTCTCAACCTTGCAGTCTAATTCAGTTGCTGTCTCACCAGAAAATTCATTTATTTCATCCCAATTGGAGACTGAATTAAACAGTCTAGATCTTCACTAAAGATCTAGAAATAAAATGCAACTCTCCCTCTGCCAATGTGTAACAACCATATTTTGAAGAGATAAGACACCAGTAAGATCTTTAAATACCCAAAAGCAGATCATTGTAGCCCAAAAGGTCTATGGTAACATAGTCCCACAATTAGCTACTTCTTAGAAAGGACATATAAATGTACATTTTAATTGGTCATGAAAACATGTATGGAAGACACAAAAAAACAAAAATCGAAATTTTGGGAACAATTCTTCATCTATCACTAATTCTCAACATATCCTTTTTGGTATACATTATTGTTCCTCTCTATAGTTAAGAAAATACACTTACAAAGATTCAGTGACTTGCCCATGTCAAATGGCTTTTATATAGCAGACTTAGGATTTGAATTCATGTCTGTCTGGTTCTTGTGCCTCCACTTCTTCCACTGCACAAGGCTGTTACAATCTGATCATAATTCATCTTTCTCCTGAAATGACTTATACTTCTATATCAGTGACACACATGCCAAAGCAGGTATACAGAGCCCTCTCTGTCCACACATGAGCTAAGCTGCCCCAGAAGTTAAGCACTGGGTAACAGCTGTTTTTTCTAAACTAAAACCTCAGTACTCAGGTTAATTGCAGTGTTGGCACTTTGCGATAAATAACTGGGTTTTGGGTTGCAGTTTGGGCACTCATCCCTAAAAGTTTGGACCTCATTGTCCTACGTACATTTTGGAGTATCTCTTTGTCTTACTCTAAAGAGGTCAAATTAAAAAACAGCTACTGGATTGGGGATTTAGCTCAGTTGCGCCGCACCTGCCTTGCAAGCATAAGGTCCTGAGTTCAATCCCAAGTACAAAAAAATAAAAATACAAATAACAAACAGCTATTGCTGGTGCTGAAAGAAATCACTTTTGACATTTTAAGATTTAGGTTTGTTAGAAATGCTGGAAGCTGGGAAAAAGTACTGCTCAGGCTTTGTCTTTATCAGGACCCAGCATTCTCCCACATACTACTCTTCCCCACTCCTATCACATCAGTCCAGCCTTTGTGCTTCTTGACTACCATTTTACCCATAGAATGCACCAAGCCATGAAACCCGTAAGCGGCAGCTCTCCTGGCAATCTCCATTTTACCTTGGGTTTGCAGGGGCTGCCTTGTCTTCTGGCTCTTCTACAACACCAGATAGCTCTGGGGGAAGGAAAGCATCTTTGTTGACATTATTCACCCAGCTTTGCTTTGCCCTGATTGCTTTGTCCTTACTCTGTCCAGCTGAAATAGGAAATAACAGACAGGAAGGTTATCTCTTACTTCCACAATCCAAAATTCTCTTATTAGCTCCTATCACTAAGGGCTCAAACCTGAACCTCAGGCCTTCCAAATGCCAAAGCAATCTCTGAGTCTCTGGAGCATAATCACATCTTTAAGAAAAATCAGTAAATTCCCATGACATTAGTTTGTCCTCAAGCAGAGTTTCCTAAGAGCATGGGTGTAAATGTGCAGGTAATTCAAAAGGCCATTAGTGGGAAATTCTGGCTGCCTCTAGGTTAATCTGATTTGAATTGGGGTCAGGACTGAAGTATGACCAGGGGATATGCAGGGTAGGGAGTATTTGTTGGGGTAGAAGCATCATCCATAACAAGCATTTACTCAAACATCTACAATGCATGCAACAGGATGCTTGGCCCTGAGATTCCAAGGGGGAACACATGATTCTAATCTAGACTGTTGCATTCTCTTTCCCCCACAATCTACATCCAAATTCTACATACAGGGCAAAACTCAGCCCAGAAGTCAGAGCCCCATAAAACCTCTGTGATCCTTCTTGAGGAAATAACCTCTTTTGCCTCTGAATACCCGATACTCTTTCTTTACCTGAACCTCTTTGCTAATTTAGCATAAACTGGAGTGATGACTGACTACCAGGCACTGTGCTGAGTTCTTTGTATGTATTATCCTATAAGAACAATTTTCCAAGTTTAAAAATTTGGAAGTTGAGGAACAAAGAGTTCAAGAAAATCGCCTAAGGCCACATAACAAGTATGTGCCAAAAAAAGACTCATCAGTGTTAAGAAGATGAAGCAATATTTGGGCTTTCAATTGAGAAATACATTCCAGCGTGGTATCCTCTCACAGCAGTCTCATTTCTTCAACTCCAAAATGGAGTCCACAGTGCTAAACAGTACCCTCCAAGATTTCTTAAGGTCTAGGTGGTTTTGAAAAGCAAGAGAGCTGAATATAATAGATTGTCCACACAAAGCAATTAGCCCTTATCTGCACGGAGTGTGGCACTGAGAAAGATTTGAAATCCCAGCTCTGCCATTTGTCAACAATATGATCTAGGGCAAGTAACACCCAGCTTATCCAAGAAAGCTTATGGGAAAAATAATACCTGTCTTACAAGATGGCTGCTACAGTTAGAAATAATAAAGAATGAACATCTACAATAGATGCACAAAAGGGAATAGCTATTTTCCTTATGGGACACAGGCTAGACCCAGACAGGGGTTTATACTGACTAACCTAGAGTTGGAGAAGGGGCACCCAGCAAATATCTAATAAACTGAAAAAATTCAAATAACTCCTCAAAAAATTACCTATGTGGTCCCTTAAAGAATATACTTGGTTGATTAAAAAAATACCAGTTGTCAAGACCATCAAACAGGAAGGCTGATCTCTTTCTGTCTAAACCTTCACCTTACTCATAAGGTTCTGAATTTCCAGGGTTAAAAGCCAAAGAGGAGGTTGTAGACCTCTGACAAATCCCAAATATCTATGCTACTGCAACTCACCATAGTCCCAAAAGAACTTCCTGTGTTCCCCTACACTACACTGAGTCACTTGGTCCTGCCCTCATCCATCCAAACCCCAGGCAGGGGGATTTTGAGCTGCAGGGTAATAAATTATACAAAGCATACCTCTGAAAGACTTCCCTCAGCAGATTTCAGTAATGATTCTGACATCCTTCCCCATTCCTCCTTCCCAAAGAAATGCTGGCTATGAGCACTCAGCTCAATCATCTCACCTGCCATTGGAAGCCTCTTCTTTCTCATGGACGCTCTGATGATATCTGCACCATGGATTTTTTCTCTGTGCCTTTTTGCTTTAGCTTCATAAAACCATTGTCCACTCATATTCTTCAGCTGCTGGTCATCCTTAATTTTTTCAGGCAAATGTCTACAAAAGGAAAAGAGCTTTACTTTGTTGAGAACTCTCAGTAAATAAATGAGTTCACTGTGACACTGCATAGATAAATTTGTAAACATACAGGCAAAATGAAACTCTCAGTATTTTAGACACCACAAACCTCCCAGATGACTAACAAATGTTCCTCTTTGATTGAAAATTCAGAGAAGCTAAGGCCAATATATACATTTTAATTCAAAGACTTAAGCCATGGTCCTCAGATGATATCTGAAATTTCTCAAAAGCAGATTCATTTCTTGTAGCCTTCTATGTCTACGGTTCCAAAGCAAGTTGGGTAAGGAGCTTACAACTGTAACCTACCTCTTGAGGTCATTTTGAGAATTAAATAAACTAATCATACATGTAAAATGAGCATGCCTGGTATCTAATAAAGACTGTGTAAATAATCCATGGATAGTTAGTTACCAGTTCATCAGTCCTTTCCATTGTGGTGAAATGAGTTTATCAGAGGCGTTCTTGGAAGCTTGTGAAGGAAGGGGACATGATGTCCCTAGTCCTTAATGTTAAGGGAATGACCACAGAAAAAGGTAGGTGAGAATCAAGAAAGATTGAGTCACAGAAGCAGAATGTGCAGGCAAATTCCATTTGTGCAGATATTGCTTGTAAGGGTTGCAAATCATTCATGCTTACTGAAAAGCTAAAACCTAAATAGCCGTGCTGCTCTAAAACTTCTCTAATTTATATGGACTAGAAAAACATGGTTCTAATGGATAAGTCCTTTGGCCTCTGCATCTATCTTAATAAAACGTGAAGCATAAATCTATATTTTCTTATTAATAGAGACATACTCAGAACAAAGTGGAGTAAAAGCCTTAAGGAAATTTTGAACTCTTGAAAGACAATGTACTACACAAGTCCAAGAGTTTTATGATGGTCATTTGTGCTAATATGAAAACCTTCCTAAAGTAGCAAATCTAATTGTTTTATCCAGAGAATGTGAGGGGGCCAACATGATAGCAGGGCTGAGTGTGAGGGCTACATACAAGTATACTCGGTAATAGTGAAAACCAGTGTAGGGGCAGTCATCCTAAGTCTAGCAAAAATGTCTTTCTCCCAACCATGCCTAGTTAATGTCAACTCTGCTGGAATTTCTTCTCCTCTCCCAATTACCTAAGAACAAATGACCCTATCATAAAAATGTCCAATCACAAGCCTGCCCATGCATTGTCATGGTATCCCATTTCCAAATTCTAACAAGGACAGTATTATCACTTCATTGTTCTGAGTCATCAAAGAGAGTATGGTTCTTATTAAACAATTCTAGTGGTTTCACCTTGCCTAAGGCTTTGAGCAGAGCAGACAAGCCCTGCTGGGCTACTGGTATAGCTTTGCCTTCTGCTCCCAACAGGACCAAGTCCAAGTTCAGTTCCAGAAGGGGAAAGTCCTTCCACTTCTCCCTAGCAAGCTGAGCTCTTTGGGGCAGGGCACTGAATCAGTGCTCGCAGAGGTAAAGTATCACTGGGCCCCTGAACACCTGGCTTTAAGTTACTACTTCAGATTTATTTTTCTCGACTTAGCATACCCTACTTACTCGCACACTTAACTTCTTATTGTCCTTCGAACTGCTCTTTGTGACTCCTGTAGAAGCCAGAAGCAGGAAAGTATAGTAGAAAGAATATGGGCTTTGGAGGCTTCCCAAATTACATCCAAATGCCAGTTCTGATTCTTCCAACCTGAGACCATGAGTAGGCAATTGAGCCTTTCTAAGCCTCAGTCTCATTGCTTATATAAATGGGGAGAAATGAGGACTTCTCAAAAAGCAGGACTTCTGAGATAGCTAACTGAAGTGTTGCACGAAAGTACTTAACAGTGCCTGGATCTTGGGGGAAGACCAGTGAATGTAAAGTCTCTCAGGATGTCTTTCCCTTGCTTCTCTTTCCAACATGCTGTTTCTCATCCTTCAGCTTCAGCTCAGGATTAGGAGGGTACTCTTTGCCCTCTTCCAAGCTTCCACAGCACCTAACCCTAGGCACTCACCACATCAGGTTACAATAATCTGTTTGCATATCCATTTCATTCACTAATCTGTCAACTGTGCATACTCCTTGAAGACAAGGATTACATCTAATCAGTGTTGTAACCCTGGCATATAGCACAGAGACTGACACAGGGCTGATACCCAGTAACTGTTTGTTGAGTGACTAAGTCTAACAGTCACCCTAGTCTAAGTCAGGCAAGAGATAATCAAGATCTTGACACTGCTGAGGCTCAGTGAGCCCTGCCCCATCACAATGGCAGGGTATTCTAATGAGGCAGGATATGCTCATCTATCATCAGAACAAGAAAAAAAACACCATAAAATATGGTACCTGTCAGCATTCTTAGTGAAGGAGACTGTGAACTGTCGTAGCATAACAATTCCCAATTTCTCTTCATGAGATTGTTAATTTATTTTTGCTAAACTAGAAGTCACTTTGTAGGGGTTCCTGTGCAATTCTTAATCTGTTCCTGCCTAAATGACCAGCTGCAAGCCCAAACAACACACAACATGGGCAGGCTGTGTGCATCAGACCCATGTAAACACATGGTCCCTGAAAATGCTGGTATCCATGAGGGTAAGGACAGGGTTTCTGGCTCCTTTTTTTTTTTTTTTTTCAAAGTGGAAAAAGAACTATAATTCTTTAAAACTTAGTAGATGCTACTTTTGTGTTTCCTAACATGATTATCACCACTAGTTTTTTTTTTTTAGAGTAGGAAAAATTTATTGAGAAAAAGAAAGCTTCTAAGAGAGACAGAAGGGGGACCAGAAAGTAGGTTGCCCACCCACCCCACTCTACAAAGATGTTTTATACAGCAAAGCCATGTAGTGAGGCGGGTACAAAGTGGGACAAAACTATAAGACCCAATGGAAATTTACAAGGTGGGCATGAGGTGGGACAAAACCATGACCAACCAATAAGATTACAAATACAGTCACCCAGGTAATATTGATTAAATGGGGGTTATCACCACTAGGTTTAATAATCACTGTCTTTTCCTGTCTTGGTTACTTATAATATTTTATAGATGATGTCATATGTGTGGTGTCAAAGACGAAGTTTTGTAAAGATGTAGATCATTAGAAAATTCCATTAAAATCTCTTCTACTAGTGCATGTTGGTCTTGCATTTCATTTTCTCTGGATGTAATAACACCAACCACATCAGCACTAGCCTTTCAATAGTTACATTACCTAGTTGAAATGGAAAAGGGTAAATTTTGGGGGATTGACACTTTCTGTTCTTTACCATCCTCTCCACGCACACACATTGTGCTTAGTACAAAGCTGAGCATAGAGAAGATGTTCAAAGAACACAGATGGGTGGGTGGGCAGAAGTGAAGGCAGAGGGGCACTCAGCCTAGAGAGGACACTGTCCTGCCAGCATTCCAGGCAATGCACACCCAGGGCATTCTCCTATCCATTTCCCCTTTCCCTTTGCTTACACTTACACAGTCTCTGCTTTGTACTGAATCACACATCTGGCACTCAACATGCATTATATCATTTAATACTTTTACCATAATATACAAAGAATTTAATTAATTACAAAAGATGGCCATTGTGCTTCTCTGCATGTAAAGGATGTATCTAAGTTCTATCTGGTTATTTGTTCACTTGTTCATTCACAAATTCCCTATTACACACCAGGCATACGTGTGAAATTGTACATAAAAATTCAATCTATACCTCTAACTGCCACTGTCAATTCTTTTCAGGGCACAGATAGTGTGAGGACTTAAGAGAAGAAAGACAGAAGTGCATCCTGGCACACCGATTTCAACACTTTATTCCATCCTTCACCACCATCACCATGCTCACATGTGTACACCCTAGCTTCCAGCTTCTCAGTATAAACAGATATAACTTCAGAGCAGGACCTGATTGATATTATCTAGCCAATCATGGATGATAAGATCAGCAGGCTGCCCAGAGAGATGGTGGATCCATTCGATAGCCTTCTCCGTTTGTTCCTGTTTAATCACCCAGGATATTTTGGGCAAGACTTATTCTGGGTGTGACTTGAAAGTATTCTTAGATATTTAGAATGTGAGAGCTGGAAGAAATCTTAGGTAATTGAAAATGGCCTCACTTTCTAGATGAAATGATTGAGGCCCAGACAAGAGACTTGTCCATGGGCACACAGAGCTGGGATAGGGAGCGACCCCGACTCTTTCCACTACCACAACCTGCCTCAGAGATCAAACATGATTGTGGTTTTAAGATGGTGACCACACTTCATTCTTTATACCAAGGAACTCAACCTTCTATGGAGAATTTGGAAACCAACATATCTGGAGACAAAATAAACTACACTTTTTTACTGTGAAAAAAGTTAAGAAATGAATCCCTAGATGTGAACATATCATAGAATCCCACAATCTGCTGAGAAGCAGCACAGTGTATAGAAAGCACACAGGCTTAGGAGTTAGATTGGCAAGGCTCTAAGTCTGCAGGGCACTTGCCTTCTTCCACCCTATTTCCTCATCTGTTGAATAGTTCACCTAAAATGTTCTGATAAGAAGGGAGAAAATGTATGTGATGTTCCATGTGCAATGCAGACCTTTCATAAATGAGGGTTCCATTCCCCCTTGCTCTGACAGAAAACATCAGGGGTCCTGGAAGTCAGTTCTTCAATGACAACTTCTTTCATTTAAAACAATCTAGGTCTTCAGGAGGCAGCTGAGACTTATAAGATGTGGTGGTTAAGATGGTATCTACTGCAAAAGCATCCATCACTGTAGATGCGGTTGTTGTGTTTAGGGGGTGGGGCTTGGGGCTGGTGTGGTGCACAGACCACAATTTCCAGCTGGCAGTGTGACATAAAGCACAGGAAAAAACACCTCTAGAGTGTGTCATTTTCAAACCATAAATGACTAAAATTATATGTGTGCGTTATGGCTGTGTTTCCTTAAAAGACAGGGTGGGAAAGAGAGACAGACCAAGCCAATAGACAGATGGCAGGGGAAGGGGGTAAAAAGGGGAGAAAAAGATAAAGGGAAGAGGAGAGAAGGGACAGGTAGAGAGGGAGAGGGTTCTGGTCTGTTTCCCTGCTGGTCTGTGAAATGTTGCCGCCTAGGAGTAAGGGACACAGACTGAGCTGGGTACAGCACTTGTGGCTATAGGTACAGAGGCAATATAAAAGAGAACAGGGGTGGCAACAGTGACCTGAAATGGTCACTTCTCAACTGTACCCCAGAGATACAATAGAGGGTATCTCCCTAGGTCCTAGTTGATATTCTAGCACCAACATGTTGAGTGACTTGGGAACTGGACACTTCTGGAGACACTCATTTTTTTTCATCCATAAAAATCAGGATGGAAGATAATAAATAAACTAGACCACCTCCAAACTGTCTTGAGTGAGGCCAGATGTGAGCAATTCAAAGCAGTGGATATATCAAAAATAGCAAGCAATTTCAATTTGAATGCTAAATCTCAGCTACTGAAAGTCCTACTGAAAGTACTGATGCCCTACTGAAAGTCAGGGTTCTGAAGCAGTATCTGGTCTTGCAGGCAGCAGTGCTATAACCTATTAGTGTTGTCTGTATGGCTATAGGAGGACTGTACTTCCAAGTCCATAAAAATTAGCATCTGAAAGAACAGTCTGAATTTTAGTGGTAGGTTTGTCTTTCTAATGATATTTTTCTTAGGCTAATATTATGATTACACAATTGGTATTTTTAAGCCATATGCCAACTAGAAGAACTGGAGCCTTGTAAAATTATGTTAGGGAAACAAAATTTAGATTTTAAATTTGCATTTGATGATCTATTAAATGGATAAAGGCCGGCAGGTTGTAAAATCTTTGAGGGCTGGGATCATGTTTTCATTCACCCTAGAATTTTCTTCACATCATTGTCCAGAGCAGTTCCCTGTACTTAACAGGCATTCAATTTAATTTTACTCCAATAAATAGTAGAGTTTTAGAAGTAATTTCCTGCTAAGGACTCAGACTACTAACTACAGTCTTCTGTCCTTTCAAAAGGCACAGGTGAAATGGTAAGGGGATGAAACCTCTCTGTTATCTACCATGTGCTAGGAAAATCAAGAAATATTTTACTTAATCCTGACTTTTAAACATTTGAATTTGATATTGTGATCATTCACAGTCTCTGAATTGAGGCTCAGAGAGGCTAAATAACTTGCCCAATGAACCCTAGTTGATTAGTGGTAGAGATAGGATTTGATGCCAAGGTCCATGCAGTAGGGTTCTTTCCCCGTGCCATAACTGAACTTACTGTTGCTCTGGGAAGATAAATAGCAATAAGCAGCATAAGGCAAAGGGAAAAGCAATGGATGAAGAACTTTTCTTATCATGCCTTTGGCACTTATTAGCTGTGTGATCCTAGGAAAGTCATTTCCTCTCTTTGGGCTTTACTTTCTTGTCTGTAGAATTACTGACATGGACCAAAACAACTCCTTTCCAGAGCTTTATCTGATGGAAGAGGCAAGGACAAACAGCCAAGGAATGGCAAAGGAGAGATGGCAAAGGAGTTGGTAAGCAAAAGACATGGAGTAGCATTTTCAGACCAGAGACCCAGTTCTGGTTCCACCAGTCCAGAAGCATAACAATCTCAAAACCATCCCTGAAATTCCTCAGTTCCACAAGATTCTTGTGTGGAATGGGCCACAGGTTGGGCTCCACCAGTGTTCACAAGCAATCACTTCACATTTATTTGCCCTTGTTTGGTGCACACTGTCTCCTAGGGTTCTGACCTGCCCATGGCCAAGTCCATAAGAAGAGCTTGGTGCACAATGAGTACCCCAGACAGGGAGCTGGGACTTGACCTGCTCTAGATTTCTTACCATCTCAAGGCTTCTTCCAATCATCTGTTACAAAACCAAAAAAAAAAAACCCAGGACAGCACTCTCCATAGCTGCTAAAGCACCCTTAGGAATAGCTGACCAGAAGAGAGGCTACAAAACCAACACTATGAAAGGACTCACAACATTTTTGCTGTGCCTTAGCCTGGCTGGTGCTTTATTCCTAAATGGGTGTAACAGTTCCTCTCCTGCCAATCTCAGGGTTGTTATGAGAAACATAAGAGAGATGTTCATGAAAGGGCTTTATAAACTATGAACAGGTAAAGCATTAATGCTACCAAGAAGTTCTGCTGGTTAGCTGAGTGTTGATCCTCTGTCCCTCCTGGGGAAACTGCTCAAGCTTCCTGAAAACAGGGAGCAGCACTCCACCCAGGTATCAGCGGCATCACAAGTGACTTATAGGAAAGAGTGTGATCCCTTTTTCATGATTAACAGCTCACACTTTGACAGCCAACCCCTACTGGCCAGCCAGATCCCAGGATGGCCTGTCATTGTTTTCTCAGAGAGAGGAGGTAGAATTAGAGAATGAATACCTCAAGACTGGGATTGAAATCTCATTTCTGACACCCACTGGTGGTGTGATCACAGACAAGTCACCTGATCTATCTCAAAGCCAATTTCCTCCCATAACAAATGAGGTAATTCTATCCTACTCCACCTCGCAGGGGTTCGTAGTGCATAAGAAATAAAAGGTATGTTAAGACCTTTATAACTTATTAACTACCTATTCACAAGTTATCATCAGTGCCCATAATCATCCATTCTATAGTGCTTAATGAGGATTTTAGCATGTTCTTTTGGAAAAAGTCCATGTTTTGCTAGTCAAAATATGGGAAATATATCCAGCATTCATGGTTGCTGTGCCCCAGGGAATAAGCATATGGTTTATGGTCCTTTTGTATAACACCTGGGATAGAGACCACAAAATTAGTACCAGTAACTCACATTCAAGAAGTCTTTCTCTGTTCTCAAAACCCAAGATTTAGATGGTGAGTAGCAGGGCCTAGACTATGTCTGATCTAGTGCTCTTTCTACCACAAGGTGAATGGAAGTGGTAGGAATGCTGAATAGTTGGGTTGGAACATTTGCCTTCCACCGAACAAGGGTATTGAGTCAAAGGTGCCACACCTCCTTATGGAACTCAAGTCAAATGAAAATTTGCCTGAGTCAGAGAACACATTCATTCATTCATTCCAGCTGTGCCACCACTCTCCATTCAGAAAACACTTTCACTTTTACTGTTAAAATCAATCCCAGCCACAGGAAGTGGTGCATGCCTACAATCCTAGCACTCAGGAGGCCAAGGTGGGAGAATGGTGAGTTCAAGGCCAGCTTGTCTCATTCCAGTCTTTCAGAAAGTACACAAAAATGTGAAGATATTCCTGAATTTACTTACTTTTAAACATTTTGGAAATTTAAAAAAAGTTTACTCCATGCTTCAGTTAAGAAATTCCATTTTAAAATGTGGATATAAAATATCTACATGTACATATGGATGTAGAAGCATGCATGTGTTTATATATATATATATATATATTCTCACTATATTGTCCAGGCTGGTCTCAAACTTGTGGACTCATCTGATTTTCCCACCCCAGCCTCCTAAGTAGCTGGGACTATAAGCACGCACTACTGCACCTGGCTTGTTTTTAGTCAAGACTCTATTTCTGTTCAGAGGCCAATGGAGTAAATTAAAAGGCACAAGGAGGAAAAGTTCTGTAACAGGAAGTGAACCTAAAATTGGAACCCATAAGTTTAGGCTCCAAGTCAGAACTACTACTTGTGGTTGAAAATAAAAAAGTCTTTTTCTTTTGGACCGCCTCTTCTTTCCCTTGTGCCTGAGGACTCCCGTGGCCTCTTACCTGACTCTCTCCTCTTCAGTCCTCTTCAGGACAGCATCCCGCTGGAGAACCTTCATAATGGCATCTTGTTCCTCTTCCGTCAGAAAGCTTAAGTCAATCATTTTGAAAAGTGTACACAAAAATAATAGTAACAAATGTAGCTTGAAATTCCCAGGGCTAAACAGCTAAGACTACAAGCAGGGAGAGTAAAAGATGCAAAAATGGAATGAAATAATATCTTGTTCAGTTCTGTGGCAAAAGTCTTGTTTGTACACAGCAATAGTTTTGCATGGTAGATAGCAAACTCCTACATGCCTTTTGCCATGAGAAAATAACATCCATGCAATGACATGGAGAAGAGGCATTCAGGAGAATACTGTGATTCCTGTGCCCCCGGCAGCATTCCCAGTCCACTTCCTCTCTGGTCCAGTCTTCTCTCTCTGTCCTTGTGATCAACTTGATGAGAGGTGGCAACATCAGAGCATCCCTGACCTGGGGAATCATGAGACAGCAAACACAAGAGAGTGAGAGGCAGTTCTTATAAGCACTGCTCAGTATTACAAGATTTTTAAATGACCATACAAGATGCTCTCTGAGATGAGAGAAACCAGTTCTGCTGGCTTTCTAAGCACTCGGTAAGGTGTCATGAAATATGCTTCAACCCAATTCCAGATGGTCAAGATGTAGAGTACACAAAAATTTCTGTCAATGTTTAACAATCCAGCTGAGAAAGGGATGGCTGCAGAAAGGAACTAGTTCTGTATAAGTTCTGGCTAAAAATGCAAGCTAAAGGTCAGTAAGACCAGAGAAATGTGTTTCCAGTTGTCAAGTAATTAGGAACAAGAAACCAGAAATAAAAATGTTAAATGTTTACTTCTTCCTAAGTAGGAAAGTTCCACTAGAGTATCTGTGATGTGTAGTGATTAGTATTAAGTAGAGGTAATTTGCAAAACAGTAGGAATTATTCACCCATTTGTACCTCTAACCTTTGCTGCACCTAAAGGAACCTACCAAGCTAGTCTTCATTCATTTATCAACGTTTGCTGGTATGTAATATAAACTGTGGAAAAGGAAGAGAATTTCAAAACATCCCACCATCCAACTCAAGTACTTCTGAGCAAGAAGCAAGAATACCAGGCAAGAATACCATTTTCTTTGAGGTATCTTAAACACATGTGAAATGAGAAGGTGAGACCTGAGAACGCCACATGGGCTTCAGATATTTACTCCAGGCCCCAGGTTCTTTTTGAAAAATACAGTAATGCACATATAGTAGATATTCAAAATCACACGTTTGGTAAATTTGAAAACAGTCCCACTTGAGAATGAAGTGTGTACACTAGTGAGTGAAGTTCATGAATAAATTCCTATCAAACAGAATTACTTGGAAGTAGTCCCCCTATGACTTGCTAACTCTAAACCATTAGGTGAATTATTGACAACTCTAAGACTCAGTTTGTTTATTTGTACTTAACATTAGGATGTTTTTCACAGATTTTAAGGATTAAATAAAATAATAAATATAAAATAGCACATATGACCAGGTGTGGTGACACACGCCTGTAATCCCAGCACTTGGGAGGCTGAGGCAGGAGGATTGCTGTGAGTTCGAGGCCAGCCTGGGCTACATAGTGAGTTCAGGGCCAGCCTGAACTACAAAGGAAGACCCTGCCTCAAAAAACAAAAATACAAACAACCAAAACAAAAATAGCACATATGTTGCATGCTGTACCAGAGCTAGTTATTGAAAATATATTCCAGCTTCCCTTCTGAGTTCACATTTTTGTTCCATCCAGGTGAATAAGATTGTACTTGGCTGTATATTTTCCTTATCTCGTTTGTGTTATATCTCTTTCTGATCTCCCCTGTGAAGTTTGGGCTTCATGAACAGATACTCTGATGACCTTCATTTTATTTTCATACAGCTCTTGCATATTACCCACAGTGACTACTTTAAAAAATATTAAGACATTACTTCAATCTCTTTTAAAACTTTCCATGCACTTAAATACGTTCTTGCCTGCTTGTTTGTCCTGAAAACTACCCACCCTTCCAGACAGATCAAAGTTACCACCTCTAACCTCCATAGCCACAGTTCAATGCTGTAATAGATTAAATTACTGTTCCTAACTCTTCACTCCCTCCCAGTAACAGACTTGGACCCAAGTCCCCTGCAGTAGGGCCACTCCAGCTCATCTTCAGATAGGAAACTGAGAAATAAATATTTGTTGTTGGGAGCCACTGAAGTTTTGAGGTTGTTATACAACATATTTGTAGCAAGAACTTGATCGATACAAAACCCTTTTCCATATCCATATCTCCCCTGCTTTTAATTGTCTGCTCTCAGTCTCTCTTACTTGACAGTGAGTCTCTATGTGAAGAAATACTATAAATGAGCAAATGAATGAACTGAACCCAAATAGCACCACTAGGAGATATATCGATATTTCCTTTCATGCACAATAACTTTCTCAGAGTCCAAAGGCTGACAAGATAATGGGTAAATGCCACATTCCAAGAACTTTGTCCCTAGCAAGGATTTACACAGCCTGTGGTTCAATAGGAGGCTGTTTTGTTTGTTTCTTTTTGAGACAGTCTTGCTAGGTAGTTCAGGCTGGCCTTGAGCTCACTGTGTAGCAATTCACTGAAATCCTGCCTTGGCTTCCTGAGTGCTAGGGTTACAGGCTTATGCCATCACACCCTGCTTGAGACGGTTTTGAAATTCAAGTGTGATGACAGAAAGATAGCAAAGGAGAAAAACAACTTAAGCGGTCCAGCAGTGGTAAAGGGAAGAGTTGCTGAAGAGGGCAGTGATGGTTTCCACATCTTCAGTCAGAACCACGAGCTAACCATGCTTAAGTGCAAAAGCATTTATGGGTTAAAAGTTTTCCCTAAAGGTAGCCTACGAGTGAGGCAAAGGGGAATAGTCTCATTTTCCAAAGAAGTGAAGGTTGGAATCCTTTCCTAATTGGGTAGCTAGGAGTTACTACCCAATCAGATGCAGGAGAGTGCTCAGACAGCAACTAAGGTGCTTCAGGACTGCTGTTCACGCAGCTTCCACTACTGGGGATGACACTGAGCTGAGAGCTCAGTAAACATTTCACTCATTCATTCATAGAGAGGCTGCCACCAGTCTATGCTCTGGAAATGCAGCCATGAATAAGAGAGAAGAAAAAAAAACTTTTGTCTTTGTAGAACTTACATGTTACTGGAAAGAGATATGATCAAACTAAATTATGAAAAATAAATTTTAAAATAAAAAATTTAAATAATTAAATATGTAACATGTTGTCAAGTGATAAGAGCTTGAAGGAAAAGAAATCTGAGGAAGGAGGAGAATAATCATGTGGGAGACCGGGAGTTGAAGGGTGGTTTTGGGCGGTCTCACTGAGGAGGTAACACCTGAACAAATACTTTACAGAGATGAGGAAACAAGCCAGGCAGATATCAGAAGGTCCTGAGGTGGAGTGTGTCTGGCTGCCCAAGGAGCCACAAGGAGGCCAGTGCTGCTACAGCAGTGTGCCAGGAGAGCAGGAGACAAGGGCAGAGAGGAAGTGAGTCAGATGTATTAGGCACTGTAAGGACTATAAGATTTCCAGATTTACTCTGAGATGGACAATTCTAAGAAAGGGCAGGAAAATAGAAGGGAATAAATGTTTACTGGGCACTTCCTACACAACTGGTACTTTACACATATGCTCACAAAGATGCTGATGTAGATTTTATCTGTGTTTTTTCCAATGAAGAGAGAAAGGCCCAGGGATGTGTTTCCTACTAAGTGAGACCAGCATTTGCCAGCAGTTTTGTCTGAATAAACCACTGCAGCATTGATGTCATGGTTTAGATGGAGAATGTGCCCAAAATATCTCATGTGTTCAGAGGTGGGGCTTTGGGAAGGTGACTGGACCACGGAGCTGCTACACTCATCAGTGGATTGATCCATTGATGAGTTTAGAGCTAAAGGTGCTGTTAGGATATGTGGCCTGGTTTAACTGAAGCTAAAATATCCTTGACATGACCTGTGAACTAGCACCTCTTTCCTCTCCTAGCCCCTTTCCCTAGGCTTCCAACATTCTAAACTTTTTCAGTTCCTTTTGCCTTCATGCCTTTACATACTCTGTTCTTTCCTCCTGGAGCAACCTTCCTTCTTTGGTCTCCATTATGGTCACTTACTACACAGAAGCCTTCCCTAACCACACAGGGCTAGGTCAGTGCCCCTCCTGTGTGCTCCATAGCACTCAACTTCCTTGGTCATAGTGCTAATTACACTGTTCTAAATCCCTACCTGCTCACATTTGCTCCCCCACATCAATTTATAAGATTTGGTTCTCTGAGTGCTTTGTATCTCTAGCACCTGCCTTTCAAATAGCCACTAAAGTACTGTATTTGAGGAAATTAAATAAACCCAAGTGGAAGAGGAGAGAGCTTCCACTTCCCCCCTTAATAAGAACCTAGCTCTAGAGCTGACAGGTGAAATATCAAATCTATATTATTCCTAGGTTCTAGCACCAGGTCTTGCAGATGATTATCTCAGGAGTATACTGAGAATATTCTCTTCTTCAGGTAGATTACTATGAGCCTTGGTGAGAATGCAGGACTCTGCAGAGGAGAAATGTGGAACAAACACAGCATTATGAACAGTAGCACAAAAGGGAAATTTGAGGGCTTCATATGGGGACTGTGCTTAATTTGTATTTTCCATATGTTATCACTGCCATGCCATATATATAAAAACCAGTGTTCCTCACCTTGTCAATTGTCCAAAATTTAAGCTGGGGAGAGAAACCAAAACCCTAAGCACTTGACGGTAACAGAGTTAAGAGTTGGGTTTGTAGCCCTTATCTCATCATTTTTCCTGAACTAAGTTAAAATAAAGCCTAGATACCAAAAACTTTCTTTCCCAATTCACTGGGCTGTGAGGAACATCCAGAAAGCATCTTCTCTTTCCCATACAGCTGCTGCTGAATCAAAGGCTACAGACCCCCAGGGAGGGGAGCAAAACCCATGTAAGCAGTGACTCTCACATGATGAAGTTTTCAGAAGAGAAGTACATTGTTCTGGAAGTCCCATGACATCAAGAATGAAGGCTTGAAAGAAAACTCTGGGCCATATAAGCAGAGCAGAAACAAATATGCTTGAGGAGGGGAGAATGGTGCTTCACCAAAAAAAAAAAAAAAAAATCCTGATTTTTAAAAAGGCTCATCTCCAGTGGTAACACTTGCAAAATCCATCTTGCATAAAACTAAACCCTTTTTTTTTTTACTCCCTAGCTCACAGTGACATCAGAGGATGAATGCAATAATCCATAGGTGGCTCAAGAGAAACTGAGGACAGAGTCAAGTAAAGGGTGACCATCAGAATCTGCTTCTCCCTGCAGAAATATCTCCCCCTGTACACCAGATTGGTGGTCATTAGACACCAGGCCCATCCTGCCAGGGTACGAGCACTAATACTGCTAATTGCCCTGTGGGGCTGCTCCACCTCTCAGCCTGGCTTTGCCCTCCAAGAGAACTTGCCTGTATGTTCCACCTGTTGGCTTCCACCCTACCTTCTGGGGACACATTTAGTTAACTCTCCCTTAGGAAGACAGATTTTATGCCCTCCCGCAGTCTTCTTTGTTAGGAGGAAGATAAACTTCCTCCTCTTAATTGTTCTCTCATGTTTTCTAAGCCTGTCATTGGTCATTTTTCTCTGCACCAAAAAATGAGCAGGTAGTGAGTGCTAAGTACTTTCACATATGATCTCAGTTAATCACTCTGACCACATAGGAAAGAAGATATTCTCTGCATCATGTAGATGAGAACACTGGGGCTCACGGAATTAAATAACTTGCATAAGGTCATTCAACCCAAGTGTATTTTGAACCCAGGGCTTACAATTCTGAAGCCACTGCTCTTCATCTTGTCCTGCATCACCACTCCCCTTCTTCTCAGTTAGTTAGACCGGTTAGTTAGGGCCAAAGGGACCAGAATCCAGGATTCCTCATTCTCAGCCCCGTTCTCTTTGCATCCACTCTTCCTTCCTCTGTACATTCTAATTTCTTCTTGGTCACTTCCTATGGCAACATGCATTGACCCTCAATGGCATGCTCTTCTGTACATAACCTGTTAGGAATAGGGAAATTAGTGGACCTCTGGATTTGTTTTATAGAGAGACATGGAAAGGAGGACAAGCAGAAGATAGAAGAGAAAGAGACACCTGTGTCAACATGCAGGTTTTTATACACTCCCAGTCGGTTCATAGAAAGGTATAGATTCCCGGAACCAGAAAATATTACTGAAAGAACCTACTTCCTATGTTTGAACTCAATCAGAATGGTTTGTTATATGATTACACAGAAATGTGTTATGTGAAAACAAGTTTTGCCGATGCACTGTTGGGAGACAATGCTACATGAATATTTTCTTGTTCCTGTATGGTCAGGGCTTTCAGCAATTAAAAAAAACATGTGAATCACTCAATCTACTGTGTTGTCTAAACTGCTTTGCTTGAGAAAAAAAGAATAATTGTCTTGCATTGTTCAAGGTAGCCTCTCAAAAAATAGTAGATAAATAAAATGAACAAGTAAAATGAACCTCTGAAGAAGTGAACAAGTGAGAAAGTATCATGGAATAAAAAGAATAAGTTTGTTACCTTATAATACATTACTGTTTTACTTTTGATAAAAAAATTCAAAACTGGCTGTCAGCCTCAATATAAAAAAGAATCTTTTTCTTTTGCAAAGATTCTTCCAAAGATGGAAGCATTTTTTGACATTGTCCATTTCTTACCAGCTCTAGGCTGATGTAGCTAAGAGCTAATGTCTCCTGGAAAATGTTTTGGTAATTTCAAACTAAGAATGAAGGGTGGGGGGAAGCAGTGAAGAAAGATTATTTATACGTGACAGTTCTTCCTATTCCTTAATCTCAAATTTGAACCTAATGGTAATGTTCCTAGGTTTCTGAAAAGCTTGTCTCTGCTGTTTCTTGGCCTCAAGTTTAAATTTAGGACACCCACTGGAATCATAAACTTTAACCAGCCCCATCAGAAACAGGATCATGGGTTATGTAAGGAAGAAGCATCACATACAATTAACTCTTGTTAGTTAAGTACTACTAATGGAAGGACAAACTAAGTATGTATGGGGGAGGAGTTTAGGCACAGGGATTTAAGAAAAAGATAAAATGAGGTGAATCTTGAAGTCTAAATTAAACAAAGAGATAGTCATGTTGGGCAACAGCATTGGGCTGTGAAAGAATAAATATATTAAAAAAGAAGACTAGTAGTCTGAGGATAGGGTATAAATAGGAACTGAGGTCAGACCCCAAGGGGCCTGAAATATCAACATTTTTGATAAATGTCCTAGAACCAAGCTTTAATCTACATTTTCTTGACTTAACAGGATTACAAGAGACAAAAACAGTGAAGAAAAAAAGGAGCTGGAAAAATGAGCAGCAGAATGTTCATTATAAACTTCACTCCTGGGCAAAAAATTCAAATCAAATCTAGAAAAAAGATGGCAGTCTACAAAAGAGTGACTTGCATTTAACCACATAGCAAGAAGAAGATTTGAAACACAAAAGATCAGGGTTCTTCTGGTATTGCACAGAGCTGCCAGAGCTGCCATAAAAGCCAATATATCCATTGGTTCTTTGATTTAAAATTTTATTGGTGTATTTTAGGTATATAAAATAATGACAATCATTGGAGATTTGTACCTTTACATAATATATCTTGATTCTTATTTTTCCCCTTCCCCTGCCCTCCCTTCAACCCCTCCACTCCTATTTACAAAGTCTTTATTTCCATTTTTCATTTTCTTATGTTAATTCCATTCCCCTACCCCTCCACTTCCCCTTCCCCTTTGCACCTTTTCTTCCTATTTCACATTATCTATTACACCTTTTAGTCCTTATTTACACTTATTTACTATACAGTTTGGGAAGCACCAGGAGCCTAGCATAAATTCAAAATGCCAGAGAGAAACTTCCTCTCTCCTTGGAATGGCAGCATCTATCACAGGCCCAAATTCCAATTCTAGAAGAAGGCAAGTTCTATCTCCTGAAAGTTCTGAGAGTATAAATAATTCTTGCCCTCAGAGAGTTTATATTCTGGAAAGAACAAGATACTGAATAACCCTAAGAATCCCTACAAAACAGAAGAGTAGGGAGCTATCGAACTTTTAACGGGGGGGGGGCTTAATATGTTGAGTGGGCGGGGAATGCTTCCTGAAAAAAAAATAAGACCTCTGTCAAATGCAAACTCTACAGCAGTGGTGGCGAACCTATGGCACACATGCTATAGTGAGATCTTTATATCATTGAATACTCTAAAAAGTTCACCATCACTGCTCTAAAGTGACATCTAACTTGGGACCACTGTCACTTTATATTTGTGAGTGCTTCTAAATCTGAATGATCAACAGCAGATTCCCAGACATTGCTCGAGACCCGGTGAACCAAAATCTTTAAGGCTGATGTCCAGGAATCTGCATTTTCTAAAATGTTCCCATATGATGTGGCTATTCGGCCAAATCTCGAAATCACAGCTATAAAGGATTCCCAGTAGTTCAGAAATGGCTGATGACTGGCTAAAAAACAAAGCAATTAGTTAAAATTGAACATGATCATTTATATAGCAATTGTTTTTCAGCTGTGACAAGAGCAAACACAAAAATGTAACAGCTGAATCATGAAGTCATAACTAGTTCTTTGTGCCGATAAGAAAATTGAGACTAAGAGGGGTTAAACCAATTGCTTAAGGTCAAACAGCTGCCTAGTGAGAGAGTTAGGACACCCAGAGGAGGCCTCTCTTACCTTCCAGGATATATTCAATGACAATGTAAATAAAGATTTGCCAATGGACTAAGAAATTATTTGGGATGTATTTCACAGCATTCCTGAAACCAACACATGAATAGCAAGCAGGAATTACAGGTGAATACTAGATTTAACTATTTTTCTAAGCTTCAAATTCAAAGGAAGGGAGTGGAGGAACAGCTGATTTATTAACAAGACTGGAATTAAAACCAGAAGAGTAAAGTTAACTGAACTGTAGCCATCACCAGCTCAGACTTTAAAAGGATACAGAAAGCCTCACTTAGGGTGCAATTATGCACATTCTTACAACTGGGGAGGGAGGGATTATGTACTAACACAGGGGTTCTCAGCATTGCTGTACAGTAGCATCAAAAACTTAGAACAAAACAAACAAAAACAATGCTCAGGTTTCTTCACCCTCCCCTTGCTTCCAATGATTTTCATTCAACTGGTCTGAGGTGCAGCCCTACCTGGGATACTTTTATTCAAGGTGTTTAGGTGGTTACAACGTGCAGTTTGAGTTGAGACCACTGAACTGCTCTTCTTCCCATTCTGGACCCTGCTCAAATCTAGGATGTAGGGGTGAAGTAAGCAACATAACCAAGGCACAAAATATAAGGAAACAAGGCCACTAAGCTCAGTCTCCTGCACCTGCAAGCACCTTGACAAGAAGTGCTTCCCTAGACGCCCCCTAGGCCACTCTAAGGTTGCAGCAAGTTCAGCTGACCTTGTATCCAAAGATTCCATGCCCTCCACCTCACCTGCCTCAGCCTAGTCCCACACTCCCTCAAAGACTCACTTGAATCTCTCTGAAGTTGATGAAGTTATTAATTAGGCCATCAAAGATAGCTCAGTTTCCTACAATGTTCAAGGTCTCCCTATATGCTCTCCATTCTCTCCAGAAACTCATACAGATGAATAATGTCCACATCCATTTTCTATGCCATGATACAGAAACTGCTGTGATGTAGTAGAATGCATTGGTTTTGGGGTCAAAAGGCAACTGGAAGAGGAGTGATCTTTTAATAGTTCTTTACCAGTTCCCCTAAGGACACTGGGTTTGTTTCCTTATGTGTACACATGAACAGCAAAATCTAACATGCAAACTTTCTAGGAGGATGACATTCAGCTGCAAGTCAAATGGTCTAGGAAAAGTGCATGTTCCACAAATACCTTCTGACAAGGAATCTCCTGTACTGCACTAGCTCAACTCCTTTTCCATGCCACACTGAGGCTGAGAATTACTGCCACTGCTTTTCCTACTTACCTCTCTAGACTTTCCCTTTTCCATCCCCTCACCCCATTTTAAGAAGTCTAATTCTTGGTTTTTACAAGCACATACATCCCCACACTTGCCAGAGAGACCTTTGAGGAGATTTTTTAAAATCTAAATTTGTGATGAGGGATCAATAGTAGAGAGGTTGAGTAAGAGGATCCTTTTCTTAAATTACTGAGAATTCTATATGTTCCTATTTTAGGCTTTGACTCCTGCTTTATAAAACCAAAAGTCAAGAATTTGACATTTTGCTCTCTGGTTCTACATTAACTGCCATCCTCTAATAATGCTTTTTCTGCTAGTGGACAAAGAGAATTTGACATCCCTACATCCCCAGCTTCTGGCATTGTACCTGGCACAAAGAAGGTGCCTCATTTATTGAATAAATAAATAAACAGAAAAAAGAGAATAGAGGGAAAATGCAAGATAATTAAATGGAGTTGAGAAAGAGTCAAAAAAAATTACAAGGCAGGGCTGGGGATTTAGCTCAGTGGTTCCGCCACCTGCCTCACAAGCACAAGGACCTGAGTTTGATCCCCAGTACCAGAAAAAAAAAATACAAGGCAGGTGCAAAAAAATTTTGACAAGTTATCATCCATATGTGTATTTGTCAACTCTGTGATAGAGTAGCGGTCCTCCAAAGGGGTTTACATCCTAATTCTTGAAAGCTGTGAATATACATGGTAAACCTGCATAGTAAAATAAACTTGGTAAATGTGATTAAGGATTTTGTGATGCGGAGATTGTCCTAGATCAGTGGTGGTGAACCTATGGCACATGTGCTGCAGTGGGTACACAGAGCCCTCTCTGTTGGCACACAAGCCAAGTGGCCCCAACAGCCAAGCATTGGATAACAGTTTTGTTTTTTCTAAACTAAAACCTCAGTATTCAGGTTTAATTGCAGTGTTGGCACTTTGTGATAAATAAGTGGGTTTTGGGTTGCAGTCTGGGCACCCAGTCTCTAAAAGGGTTGCCATTCCTGTCCTAGATTATCAAGGTAGACCAGTATAACTACATCATCTTTATGAGA